TGGAGGAGGAGGAGGTGGGGCCCATCAGCGAACGTGGAGAAAGAGGAGGCAGATAGGTAGGGAGTGTCACCAGCCCACCTGAGACCCTGCCGAGCCCACCATAGAAAATCTATGATGGGCTCGGCAGGGTCACCCTCAGGTGGGCTGTGTGGGATCTCAAGTGGGCTCTGCAAGGGGTGTAACTAGAAATTACAGGGCCCCATGCAAAATTTTGCTATGGGGCCCTGTGATTTCTAGTTATACCCCTGTAAGTAAAGCATATTGGGAGACCTTAAAAAAAAACTTGCAAAGGTAAAAAAAGAAATACTGATTGAAATACTGGATTTACAATTACACAATCTTACAATGTACATTTCCTACAGCTTAATGCAATCAAGGAACAGATGGCTCCCATTATATTATGCCAATGGGTCAAATCTCTTAACATTGTCACATTGCTCATTCAAAAAGATATCTATATAAGAGGGGGAAAATAAGTGTATCACATTGAAGGCAATTATGCTCTTAAGTCATAAAAAAAATAGTCCAGCCTGCCCGTAGGTGTTGGTGAACACCAATCAGAGGTATCTGATGTATGGAAATATATTATACCGTAGGTAAATGTTGAATAATAATATGTTTCTTTAAATCTTTTGCAGAATGCATAAAATGAGGTTGTATCTGACACACATCTCATACATTTGCACTAACTAAAGTACTGAGATTAGATTACGAGAGAAGTAGGGAGCTGTCACTGCTGATCTCTTTTTCTGATAACATTCCTTGACCGGCTGTTTTGCTATAAACTGATCTAAAACAAGTTGCAGAACAAGAAAGAAAAGTCAAAAATCCTTATCTACATGTTTGTTCTGGGTCAGAGTCTCAAAGTATTGAAGCCAGAGGGCTAGAAAAACAGCTACATTATATACATTTGGAGTTCAGCAATGTTGCTTATAGCTGAACTCCAGGCACAAAATTTTTTATTTAAATATATTCCTCGATAGCGACAAAGGATATAATTCCACTTTGTGAGCATCAAATGCATATATAGATATTAACTTGTAAAGGTAGTGGTGACATAATCACTGTGCAGGGAGCTGATCTGTGGGAGGTACTCAGCAGGCCCTATCCACTACAGGCTGCCTGCAGAAAACTACAGGAAGGGGCGGAGACAAGACCAGTCACCCGGCACAAGCAGAGAGAGCAGCAGCGACCGGTCTTTATTACAAGAAGCTCCTAAACAGAGGCCATGTTTCACACTGAAACACAAGAAATACACAAAGCTCACCAAGACAAACACACACTCGCCTTTTATTTAGACAATATTAGCTTATCCCGGAGTTCAGCTTTTAGGGCTTGTTCACACAATTTTCTGGTCCAGATCTGGAGCAGATCTGCAGACGCGGTGCTATGTTTGCAGTGCGGTTTTGACACGTTCCAGCGAAATGTTTTTTAAAATTAATTCATTTTTATTTTTTTTTGTTGGGAGTGGGGCTGTCAATATGTTAGCTGCGGTGCGTTTTCGGCACGTTTCATTGCGTTTCTGACACGTTCATGCGTTTCACAAAATGTGACATGCAGTATTTTCTCTGTCCGGACCTGAACGGACTGCGCACGTGAGAACTGTAGCCCATAAAACACATAGGGATACATTGGGATGCATTTTGGGTGCAGGAGCGCACGGATCTGGTCTGGACACAATCCGGACGTCGTGTGAACAGGCCCTAAATGCATTCTGTGATTTTATTGGTTCAAATACACTTTTCATGTGTGATCTGCGCACTACGCAAAGGGAATACATGTCACTTATTCTATGCTTTGCTACCAGAAAAACACAGGTCAGAGTACTCCCAAATACTATTCACTAAATACCTTTAACCACAAACATAAACTGTTACATGCCGCACTTTTTTTCCATCCTTTTTATCTTTTGGCCCAGGTTCAGTGTAGACTGTGACACTGAACCAAGTGTGCTCTATGTAAACCACATGGGGTTCCTGTTTGTATGAGGTACGAAACTGAACTGAAGAGCTTTCTATAAGTCAGAATACCTCACTTAAGCATTTAATCTACCATTTGCTCAGCAAAGCACACACTTATGTGTCTGTGCAGTAACTGGCTTCCTTCCAGCGGCGCTGATCTGAGCCAATGGGTTTAATAATGCCAGTAAAGTATACCATAGATATTCCATACAAACTACACTTTTAGAAAAAAAAAACTGCAGCATCTGTTTTATTTCAACAAAACCATTCTGCTCCCTTTACTGTGTGCATGTTCATTTCTTAGGCATCTGTAATTTAAGATCAGGCAGATGCTGTTGCCTGGCAACAGTGCATGGCCTACATGGTACCCATCCTATGAACCAATGGCTAGCTGGATTTTCTTTTCTCTCTGTACACATGCTACAAAAGAGGCCATTGCACATATTTAATAATTAATGATACACCAGGAGGACTTCAGATTTTTAGCCTAGCGTGAAGCCGCCCGGTTGCAATTAATCACTGTAATGTAACAAAGAGAGTTCTGATGCGTACAACGTGCCACCCTCGCTATTATCTAGCAAGAATAGTAGTCTCTCCCCGAGAGGTGAATAATTATGGATTTCTAGCCAGGACATATGTTGTGGATTGCTTACATAACACATTCAATTATTCATGCAATTTAATAGGAAGTCATGAAATGAATGCAGCATTTTCTTTTTTATAAGATGACCACACGTTTTTTTTTAAATCTCAGTAATTGCACAATGCATCTATCTATAGAGGCACCGGGATGTATGACACAGTAACACAGATGAAACAAGTGCAGATTACCACTGACCCCAATGCCACAAATAAAAATCAAATCTTACCTTTAAGGGTCGTCTAATGCAGAAATGGTTTCCCTGGGGGATTTGCTGATTTCAGCCGTGTGATTGTGGTTGATTAGACACTGTTAGAATTGTAGGCAGACAATGTTCCTCATCCAGACAGCAGCTGCTGCTTCTCTTTTTTTTTGGAGGCTTTTGTCACGCCTGCCTAGTGGCATTTTTTTTTCTTTTTCAAAAAGCTTTATTGGTAGTCGGTAGAGACAAACAGCAAATCTGGGGCATACAGAAGTTGTTGTGCTTTTAGCTGCTTAAACAAAAAATAAAAATGAATTAAACAGTTTGGATTTTAATGTAACATTTTGCTGTTTCATTATATTTCGTTTCTATATTTTGTTTATAAAAAATGTAACCATATCTGAATGAACCATCTCTTTTAGCTTTTTTTTTTTTTTTTAGATTTAATGATAATGCAATCAGTCAGGTTGAATGGGCAGTCAGAAGGTCTTTTCCTATGAGGTTGTAATGTGTGTAATATAACAGCCCAGATAGCAAGGATAGCTTGCCACAAACTTGTGTCAGGGTTAAATTGTAATTCTTGCTGCACACGTTCCTGGCAAGTTGTAGACTTGCAGAACACTGGCAGCACAAGTTCTAGTTGACACTTTTTAAATTTGTAGCAAATTTGCTTCTCAAGTCTACAGCAAGAGTCCTGCAGGTCTTAGCAAGAGCTCGCTGGTCTGGAGACTTGCAATGCAGACTTGCTGTAATTGTGCAACAAAATTGTGAAGCTTGCCAAGTCTGCAATAGTTTAGCAAGTCATTTTCAAACTTGCAGCTCAATTGCTTGCTATCTGGGAGAAAGATTGTTTTGAAGATAGGTTGGAATAAAATGTTGTGATTGTATGTGGCAGTTTTGGAAGAAACAAATAGGCACAAAATTGTAATTGAAGTTAAAGTGACGCTAAACTTAGTTAAATCTTAAAAATACATTTAAGTACCTTAACTATTAACAAAAATTTATCTTATTTTTCTATCACTCAGCTGTAGATCCCCAAATCATCTCTGAGTTCATGCTGACACTGCCTCTCCTTCTGGAGGGTGACTGCTTTTGTTTCCCATGATCCCTGTGTATGTTGGAAAGTAGCCACCACTCCAAGCTCGATCCAGTGATGGACTACAATCTTATGTTTAGTTTACTAATTTGTATTGAGATTGTAGACCATCACCGGAGCAAGCTTGGAGTGGTGACTACTTTACAACACACACCATGGGGAACAAAAGTAGCCACCCTCCAGAAGGAAGGACAGCGTGGTATGAATGGTGGAATTAGCCTTTAAATCCCCCTACATGTTGCACTATCCACACAGTGTTTACATTGCAAGCTTCCTAACATCCAGCCTGAAGAAAGGAAAGGCCACCACCACGTACCCCAACTCCAGCATGGTTGAACTTCCTGCCTGTTATGAGGATTGGCCAGTTTTTCCAATCACTTATAGGAAATTAGCAGCTGATTGGCAGAGACCAACTCCTCACGTTTCCCTCCATTTTTGCAGAGCAATAGGCAGATTAATGAAGTGTACAGCGCTAAATGCCCTTCAGGAAATTAGATAACGATAGGGATCATATGGTGTCACCTCCGTGTCAAGCAATCGTGAAACAGTGTATATATAATAAATATTTGTGTAAAAACTTATAGTACGTTATAAAATGTGTCAGTAAGTGTCATAAAAGGCGTGTCATACATGAACCTTATTAAATAAATAAACAAAAATCTTCAAAGAACATGTGTCATATATGTGAAAAAAATATTATTGTGAAAAAAATATTAAAAAAATAAATAAACATGTGTCATATATGTGAGAAATATGCAAGTTAGTTTGGTTCACAATAGGCAGATTAAGCATGTATGGGAGCAGCATATTGTTGACGGTCAGTAACCAGTAACTAAATGGAAGCTTGTAAATGACAGGCTACCCAGCAAATTAGGCCCAAAGTCTTCATATTATTTTACTTGCATGGTATTAAGCAGTGCTTCTACTTAAATACCTACTACATGTAGTCCTATTTGGGGTATGTAAGGGGCAAGGTGTGTATTGGAACATTACCCATGAATTTCACTTCCTCCTCACGGTACCTGATTTTTCTGAGGTTCTATTTCATTTAGCTCACCAAACGTCCCAAGGGCTCACCTGTGGGAACTGGCATTCCTGCTATTATAGATGAGTGATAATGTACTGACTTCAGTACTACTGGAGAACCCCTATATATAGTGAAACTTACCATACTGCAAACATGTAAACATAATGGGATGTACACAATTCAGCTGTTTTAAAGTCACTCCTTTGTTTCTTCAAAACGTGCAGTCTAAAGAGCGCTGTTACTAATTTACAAATTTTGACTGTCTGTCAAAAGTCAACAGCTAAGCCCCTATCTCCATTTGTAGATGCTCTTGCCAGCTACTCAAAGGAAGAAACTGCACACTGCAGTCCATCAGTAACAACAGCTTTCAATCCAAAAGGCTAAGAACTGCCAGAGAGACTCCCCACCTAGAAGCCGTCTGCACGAACGCATTTAACCCGTTTAGGGCTTAATCATAGTGCATAATCTCTATGATTAAGCCCTAAGTGGGCAAAATGTATTAGGGGGTGGCTTCTAGGTGGGAAGTCACAGTGTACTGGCAATTCTTAACCTTTTGGATTAAAAAGCTCTTGTTACTGGCGGCTTTTTCCTTTGAGTTGCTGTGTTGGTGCGTGGATGACTCCCAACCTGCATTGATATATGTGCCCGGTTGTTGGAGGCTCTGCGTTGGATGGAGTGGTGATGTCTTCTTTGCTCTTGCCAGCTGTTGATGTTTGCAGACAGCGGTGACAGATGACTGTCACAGGATGGACAGAGGTGTCTTTGACATACAGGCTGTAAGTGACAGCCTGGCTTTACTTCCTCTATGCCAGGGGTAGCCAAACTCCGGCCCTCCAGCTGTGGTGAAACTACAAATCCCATGATGCATCTCTCTCTGGGAGTCATGTCTGTGGCTGTGAGAATCTTGCAATGTCTCATGGGATTTGTAGTTCCACCACAGCTGGAGGGCCAGAGTTTGGCTACCCCTGCTCTATGCTCTGTGAGAGGCAAGATGAGGAAATACCTGGGTCCCTGGGGACAGTCAAGAGCCAAGTGTTTGTTCACTGATTTGGCACTGGAAGGATGTTTTCTAAGCTAATTAGTTCATATTTGGCAGTGGTTTATCTAAAAAGAAAGGGTTAATTAAAAAAAGGCATGTATTGTATACAAACAAATACACTCATCTTTTAACACTGCTCTGTCAGGTAGATAAGACAGAAAGCACTCAGGCTGGGTTCACACCTAGGCATATTGAATATGCGCGTTTGTCGCGCGTTTCCGAGGGCTACCTGGCTGTATCCTAATGGATACACGCGACAAATACGCCCCAAAGAAGCTCCTGAACTTCTTTGGGCGTAGGGCGTTTTGCAGCGCGTTCCTACACGCTGTAAAACGCCCAGGTGGGAACCATACCCATAGGCAATCATTAGTTTTCACATGTTGAGCGTTTTACAGAGCGTAGGAACGCGCTGTAAAATGCCCAGGTGTGAACCAGGCCTTAGCTTAGCTTCATTTGCCTCTGAAATGAGCAGTACAGTATTATGATGGATGTAGCAAATTTCCGTAGAGCACACATGGTTTTCTCAGCAACTTCATGTGAAGTGGGGGCTTTAAAATCCTCAGGGCTTTGTCAGATTACTCTGTGCACTGCAGTGACAAATTTGCTGTAAGACAAAACATGAAAATCTCTTCAAATCAGGCATAAAGTGAAAGCTGAAAACCATATATTTTTATTTAGTGAATAAGCTGAAATATTCTGTGTAAACTGGCTGGCCTTACGAGTAAATGTTGCAAAGAAATTGGCACTAAAATAATTAAAGGGATTCCCCTCCTTAAAATGAATTATATATACCTAATACTCCCAAATAGAATGCCTTATCTCAACCTTGTTCTATTGTTGGTGGCAGTGAGTGTGAATGAAAAGAGGTGTCCTTCTTTGCATGGCCACCTACTAATTGTAGACATCTTGAGAAAATCACCAAAAACTCTAAAGTGTACAGCATTATATCCAGTCCATGATGCATCTTACACAAAACCTTAATGACAGCATATGGAGGCTGGTATTGCTGACCTCTTCCTCTCCTAGTTTCCTGGCTGCCATGATGTTTCCATGTCTTCAGTATGGTGAGAAACATCTGACTTTTGTAGAGTCCTAGTAGAAACAACTTTGGAGTTCAGAAACTATCCTGTGTAATCTGGCCAAACAACAATTGTAGGATGGCCCAGAAAGATGAAAGACTGATGAGTCATGTGGTCATTAGAAGTCTAGGGTCAAGATTGGCACTTAAATTGGTTGGAGAAGGCCATCCCTTAATTGTTACTAGTTGCAAGCATGGGCTTATCCAAGGAGCAAATCCAAAGTCATACTTTTAGTCTTCTCCAGAGTCACCAAACATTCTGGATAGTATTTGCGGCAAAGTGACCTCATGAATTCGGTCCTTAAGTTTCGCCAACTGGTACTTTCAGAAACTGGGTAGAGTTCCTATCAGAACTTGCTGACCAAAGAAGTAGTGAATCACGGGGTCAGGAAGCAGAATCAAAATTAGGAGTAAGCCAGGAGTCAATAACAGAGAAGTAGCTGCCACATGAGGCACCAGAGCATGAGACAGGCCAGAGTCTGAGAACAAGCTGAGGTCAAAACCAGGAGAATAGCTAGTTCAGATGAATAGTGTATAAGTCAATGAAAGAAATATCACAGCAAAGTTCAGGGTCACGAGCCCGGTCTGATCCAGAAGCAGGCACAGGAACAACAGTAATGTGGGTATAATTACACTGCTAGCATCATGTGCATTCACTACGGATTCCTTCATAGTGATGCCCAGACGCCTGCACATACACACTACCAAGCCTTCTTGCCAGCTCAATATTGTTACTTACACGTCAAGATGCGTATATGAAATCCAAAAGTGGGCCATATACAGTATTCATTCTCTGACACGTTCGTACTAAGGTCACTGACCTTGATCAAGTATGCAAATAAGGAGTTCTTATTTAAATCTAAACTTTTTAAATCTGGATACATTTTCCAGATTCGGAAGGAGCATGCAGAAGCAACAATCACTAGCCAGGCAATTAGCATTCTTAAAAGGAATTTATCCAAG